GCGTATATTAGAAACAAATTATTTAGTTAAAATTTTAAAAATTAATTCCTTTACTCAATAATTAAGTATCTAGAACTGTTTATTAAATTAAATTTTACGTTGTAGAGCCATGTTGCAGCTATGTTATGGTTGATGCACGAATGAGTCGGCTAGACCGAAGAAGAAACACACTTTCATAGAATTGATTAGTTTTATATGTTAAGTATATGGAACCAGAGACCCTTTTTACTAAAAACGAGGCGTCTTAGTCCTCAGAGGTTACAACACATCTGCATTTTGATTTATATGGGTCATAACATCCACTTACCATAAGGTTTCCTTGTTTTTCACCCTTATTCTAAAATCACTAATTATTTTACATTCGAGTTGCAAACGATTTAACAGTTCCCTTGAGGCTAAGTGACTACTGTAGCCCATATACACTTGCGACCAACTTTAATCAAAGAGGGCTTTGCAAAGCATTGTCGCTCTTCATGATAGATATGAAATAATTATAGCCTGCAATTTATAAAAACTATTCCCTTAAACTGGTATTTATAGACAATCAAAAAAAAATTCTTCATCTAAATCGTTTAAACTTTTAAATTCAAGATTGTCTTTAAAAAAAAACCGGCGTAAACTTTGAACGAGTACAGTGCTAGGCGCAGTGCTGCTTGATGGAAGAAATAGATCAAAGAGTGATCTTAACATAACCTAGGCAGAAAGCCTAGGTTTCATTAAGGGTGCATAATCTATAATTTTTACTAGGAGTTTCTTCCTCGTACAACTTCTCTGTGGAATTGTTTACCACCGGTGATTTTTCCGGACCGGTACGACTTAGGGACCTTCAAGAAAAGAGCTTACAACACATCTGCAATTCCCCTGGTGTTGCGGTTGTTCATGGGCGGTGGTGGTCACTTACCATCAGGTGAGCCGCATGCTCGTTTGTGCCCTAAAATATAATAATCTATAAAACAATATCTAGTAACTATCAAGTAGCGATTTTCTTAACCGATTAAAATCCGACAATTGATAGGTATGAACGTGCTTACAAGTCAATTAGTCAGTATCTAATGAGGCAGTGACTAATAACACTATGAGGGAATAAAAACCAATGAATTTTCCGTGTAGAGGCGCGCAAGAATACCCAGGACTCCATATCTTCCCGTGGGTGTCGTTGGAGGCGACAGAGGGAAACCAAGGCAGAAGATGGGCAGAGGCATCGCATCAATGGTGCGGCCACTATAGAGTCGCGGAGAATAGAGCGAGGACTGCATCGCTATACCAACACTTCCCTTCCCACTCCGCCTCACACACTACCTCAAATCACTGATGATGTTGGCATTGTTGGCCTACGTTCGGCAATTACTATTTGAACATATAGTGTGACGTATGACGTCAACAGTTACACATTGCGACCAATCTCAATTGCAGCACCAATAAAAACACATCTGATAAATAAATCGCTTCTTGAGCTAAATTCACTTGTTAAGTGCAAGGCGTATTTTACGTGGCATTTTGGATTCCAGAAAATGTAAACAAAAAACGTTTTTAAAACATTTACATTATTTTATGAGAGATTAGCCTATGACCCTCGTGAACTAAATAAGCGTCCAACGTATGGGTGCAACAAATATTAGCCCTTATTCCTTTACACTTGTCATCTGCTGTAAGTGTGTCAGCTGCAGTGTTGTCAGCTGCAAATAGCTATGTTTATTGGTAGGCCAACAATGATTTTTCGATTTATACTTTGCATCGCGTGAATATTTGGCATATATATTGTAAATATAAACTAAATAAAAAAATAAAATATAAATGAACTGCGAACATTATTTCGGTCTTTAAAAAAACGTGTGTGTGTACTTAGTACGGACATAGGAAATTATACTTCTTAAGCGTAACAAAACAGAACTAGACAAAAATCGACTCTTAAAAATATCCCACTTTTGCATGTGGTAATCAAATGTGAGGTTGTTGCCGAGCAACACATTTCCTTTATTTATATGTGTGAATAAGGTCCTCGTCGCCAAATATAGTGTATTTATGAGGATTTGACCACTAAAATACATCCTAGTTTTTTTCATAAAGCCTACAATATGGTTTACATACTCTACAATAATATAAATAAAACACGTGCTCTAGATTCATATATATTTGAATAATTACTTTAAATATAGTTATCAGTTCTCACGAAAACTTGAGAGACAATAATTACCCACTGAAGTTGTTGCTTTGTGTGCGCGCGCATCGTAACAACTTCATGGTGTCGTTTTTAGGGGTCGGTGTGCGCGCGCATCGTAAAAAATTCACTCTCATCACTTTTCCCAAACGCCCCAAAAGAAGTATATACTCCAAAAAGTCTTTACTGTTCGACATTTAGAAGAAGTGTCAGTGTTTATAATCTAAAGAAGAACGTGTTCATATTTTATAGGTACCTGCTACAATTTAGCCGAAACTTCTCAGATGTTGTTCTATGGTATTTTCACAACAACACATCGTATCGAAATAAAAAAACAGCATAATTGAACTGAATTTCAATTAATGTTTCATCAACGTTATAGCTGAATTGCAAATAAATTTAGCAATTGGCTTTTACGCATATAAAACAATGTTTCGATAAAATTGTAGTAGCAATCAAGAAATTAATTTATATTGTTGCGCAAAGGCCGTAAATTAAATTTTGGCACTACATTGTTTAACATTATAATTATCGTTTGGTATAATTTTAGATAATTCATAAATTGAAAAATTAATTTACTTTATTAGGTACTAACATAGGTTATAAGTTTTATAGTTAGTAACAAATTTTATGGATCACTTGACTATCTGAAATAAATTATTATTAGTATTTATTAACCCTTATCTATAAATATAAATTAAATTAAATTGAGGGTATGACATTGGTCCCTTGGGAGAGAGTTAAAGCCCTAGTGTGGAATGCTACTTGCGTAGACGCTTTGGCGGCCTCAAATCTCAGGGTTACTTCGTTTAGAGCCGGGGCGGCATCAGACGCAGCTGAACAAAGTAAGTGGTGCAAATATGAGTCTCTGAGACATGACTACATGTTAGTAACATTTGCTGTGGGGAGTATCGGTCCGTGGGGTCAACGTGCGGTGAAGTTCCTAAAGGAACTCTATCCGCGACTGGTCGTTGCTGCTGGTGATAAGAGGGCTGGTTCTTTTCTTACTCAAAGGCTAAGTATAGCTATTCGGCGAGGAAACAAATCCAGCGTTATGTGCTCGATACCACAGGGGGAAGGCCTTTATGATAATTAAGTTATTAGTTTTAGTTTTTTTTTAAAGGTTTTTAATATTTTATATAAGTTAAAGTTTCTGTGAGTAATAGTAAAATAACTGACTTCGGTTAAGCTCAGGGAGTTATTTCCATGTTATAAAGGCCAAAATAAATATTTTTTTTTAAATTCTGTCTGTTTGTCTGTCCGAGGAAAGGAGTGATAGCTCAGGAGCTAAGCGCTCGCTATAAATTAAATAGTACGCCAAGGACCCGGGTTCGAAAACCGCCGGCGCCAATAAAATTGTTAATTGCAATTTTAAGTGCTAATTTACTACATACATCTCAGAGAAATAAAAAAAATATTTCGAAGACATGTGAAGTTTGCCAATACTCATTGGGGTAGCGCGGTGGACATTTCCTTGCCCAAAAGCCCTCTTAGAAATAGGAGGAGGCTTGTGCCCAGCAGTGGGACGTATATAGGCTGTAACTACACTGTCTGTCCAGGTTAATGTTCGGAATGGTTGAACCGATTGTGATCATAATTTACGAAAAGATGAGAGCAATACCAAGAGGGATATTGGCCAAAATTTAATAATAGGAAAACTTTTTTTCTTTTGAAAATTTATAAAATACATGTTATTTTATTATCTTAAACCTAAATAACGCCACAATATTAGATCCTATCTAGCCGATATATATATTATATAACCGTTGGTGAACATGTTAGCGTTCGTGTTACTACGCAACAACTTGACTGATCATAACAGAACACAATTACCAATAAACGTAGTGATTATATTCTCTTTGACAATTACTCTCTACCTGATCATATTCACCCAATATATTGTCGAAACGATAGCACAGATTAAATATTGTTATTATGTAATAGTTCATAAGTATGTTAGGATTCACTAAGATGGCGTTGTAGTCAAGTTATTCATTTACAAATCCTATAAAAAAAGACCAAAATTACTCATAATATTTAAAATAATAGGTTTATAAACCAAAAAAATCTCAAATCTATGAGATCCAGATATGGCGCTGTGGCCGAGGACGTAATTAATATTTTTTTTTTTATTTACACGATAAAAAGTACGAAATACATCCGGAGTGAAGTTCATCGCGCCACCATTATTTACGTGGTAGAGCCATGCTGCAGCTATATTATGCTATGACATGTTGCATCTGCATTTTGTTTCTTTATTGAGGATAGATGTAAATGTCTATGGGTCACAGCAACCACTTACTATCAGGTGGACTGTGTGCTCGTTTGTCACCCTATCCTATAAAAAGAAATTGGTTTACCTGGCCATGACGGGCAACAGTCTATTAAAAAAAAACACCATCAATTAAATATTATAAAATCAATAAAAAGTATAATTATATAAATTAAAACGTGTCTATTGTAATGTTTGGTACTGATTTACCACGTGCTCGGTGTTGAAGGAAAACATAGTGATCCTGCATGATGTCTAAGGAATAAAATATTTTAAGGATATTCCCTGTTAACATCTAAACTATTTCAGATTTAAGAAGAAGCTGGACGTAAAATAACTGTATCCAAATATACAACAGAATGAAAACTTTTTGCTATTTTTGGCAGTTCGCATATATTTCAAACAGTTTTTTTTTTTATTATTTAAAAAATTTGGAAACATTTCGAATTAATTTTCGATTCGATGACATTGCATTTGTTTTAGTCGATCATTCTAATAGGTTGCGGTCTAGATACAGTCAGTTAGTTTAAAAAGGAATTTAAGTGTAAGATAAAGAATAAAGAATTAGCAATGAGGGAAATAGTTCATATACAAGCTGGACAATGCGGCAACCAAATTGGTGCAAAGGTAAAAAACTCTCGTGCAATTTCTTTTAAATAAATTTTCATCGCTACATTTGAGATTTCACTGAATTCTATTTATTCATCATCTAATATCATGTCTATTATTCTACGGATTATAATTTACTTTTTTATAATTATGTACAGTTTTAAAGTTACTTTTCTTCATACAAAGTATTATTATATATATTTTAGTACCAAATATTACATATTTTATAAAAAGTAATAAGTAATGTGCCATCTGGTGGCTGCGTAGAGAACCCATTTCCCCGGTCGGTGGGTGGCGTCAGTGTCGGCTATGGTGAAAGACAAAATGTTTAGCTTTTAATAAATGGCGATGTAATCATCCTTAGCCTTATCAAAGGCCGGACGTAAAATACCCACACGTACTGCTATCATTCCGCCTGCCAAGCATCACTATCTTTATAACGTATTATTCTCAACGTTACACAACGTTATTGTTATTCTTTATGAAAATGTATTTGTTAGAATTTTAAGCAATATTAATATTCTATGTGAGAGATTGTATGTTGGTGTCGATATTAAGTACAGCGTGCCAAATGCTTGGCAGGCAGTACTAAATGCAAATTCTCCCTCAATATATCGGGACAGACCCATCCTCAATATAACGGGACAGACCCATGTCTAGCTGTGAACTTATACTCGCTGATGGTTCGTTTCTTTTTTTAAATGTATTCTTTAGAATTTTAAGTAATATTAATATTCTATGGGAGACACTGCATGTCGACGTCGACGTCAATATCTAGTACTGCCTGCCAAGCATGGCTCTGTCGAGCAGTGTAATGTTTATGAACGAATTTTGATTTTCCTTGCTGGTTCTTCCCAAGTTCTCTATTTTCAACAAATGTTTCAAATAACAATGGAAAGTTTTTGAATTTTATATCTTTTAGATTTTATATTTGGATATTGTTTATTGAAGCACTGTAAATTGATAATACAAAAAGCTGTAATAGCTTAAACTAGCTCTACATCCAGTACCGTTACAATAAATAAACTTAAATTACTTTGTTACATCAATCGTAAATTTCCAGTTCTGGGAGGTTATATCGGACGAGCATGGCATCGATCCAACTGGCACGTACCACGGCGACTCCGACCTTCAATTGGAGCGTATAAACGTTTACTACAATGAAGCCACTGGCGGTAAATATGTGCCTCGAGCCATATTAGTTGACCTCGAGCCCGGAACGATGGATTCTGTCCGCTCCGGGCCGTTCGGACAAATATTTCGCCCGGACAATTTTGTGTTCGGCCAATCCGGTGCTGGAAATAATTGGGCTAAGGGTCATTACACAGAAGGTGCAGAATTAGTCGATTCCGTCCTTGATGTTGTCAGAAAGGAGGCGGAGGGTTGTGATTGTCTACAAGGATTTCAACTGACACATTCTCTCGGTGGCGGCACAGGAGCCGGTTTAGGCACGTTACTAATATCAAAAATAAGGGAAGAATATCCTGATCGCATAATGAATACTTTCAGTGTCGTCCCATCACCCAAAGTATCGGACACTGTGGTGGAACCATACAACGCTACACTTTCTGTGCATCAACTGGTGGAAAACACCGATGAGTCGTATTGTATTGATAATGAAGCTTTGTATGACATCTGTTTCCGCACTCTAAAGCTTACTACACCAACATACGGAGATCTAAATCATTTAGTGTCTGCTACAATGTCCGGTGTCACCACTTGTCTTCGATTCCCTGGCCAGTTGAACGCAGATTTAAGGAAACTGGCCGTAAATATGGTTCCGTTTCCTCGCCTTCACTTTTTTATTCCTGGATTTGCCCCATTAACATCAAGGGGAAGTCAACAGTATAGGGCTCTCACAGTTCCAGAACTGACTCAACAAATGTTTGATGCTAAGAACATGATGGCGGCATGTGATCCTAGACATGGGAGGTATTTGACTGTAGCGGCCGTATTCAGAGGCCGTATGTCAATGAAAGAGGTTGATGAGCAAATGATGAATATTCAAAACAAGAATTCGTCTTACTTTGTGGAATGGATTCCAAACAATGTGAAAACAGCCGTATGTGATATACCACCAAGGGGCTTAAAGATGTCGGCAACATTTATTGGTAACTCTACTGCTATCCAAGAATTATTTAAACGAATTTCGGAGCAATTCACTGCCATGTTCAGACGTAAAGCATTCTTGCATTGGTATACTGGAGAGGGTATGGATGAGATGGAATTTACAGAGGCGGAAAGCAATATGAATGATTTGGTATCAGAATACCAGCAATACCAGGACGCAACAGCTGAAGAAGAGGGTGAATTCGATGAAGAGGAGGAGGGTGGAGATGAAGGAGACTAGACCGTATGAGCTACCTTACTTACACCTACGAAAACATACGATATTTTATTGTACTCTCTATTTTAATTTCTTTAATATATATTTATTTTTTTAAATGTCTTTTTATTACTCTAATGAAAAAATACAAGTATAAATGCAAATTTATATGTAAGTAGTAAATTTACAGATTCTTGTTGTGATGCCAAGAAAAACAGGACCCAATAGGGCTCAGTTCTTCCCCATTTAAAATCATATTGGTATTCAGCTTTTTAACATTCGTTGCTGTAAATTTAATACATTAGTTTTATTGCCGTTTATATGCAGATTATTAACGTTACACTAATGCACTAATTTTGATATAGCATTATTCAATAACAACTAAAGCTACATTATCTTACCGGGCGGCCACCCCTAACCGGGCATTTGAGGTGTGCATAAATCCTACTTGCATAACTCTAATTCGCTCAGCACGGCCATCTTCAGATGTCAAGTCCACTGCTGAACATAGACCTCCCTCAAGGAATGGCACAAAGCACGATCGTGAGCCACATGCATCCATCGACTTTCTGCGTAGGTTGTTGTTGGAAATACTACGCTCGAAGCTATATGTTTACCTAATGCAAATAGTCCGACTAGGTAAATCCAACTTAGACCGAGAGATTAATCGACGGGCTCAACTTGGCAGCGTTCGAGAGATTACGACACAACTTCTCGCCAGGTATACCACAAAACTTGCAAGATTATACAACCAGTGCGTATTATGGCATATGGATCAGACGTGGTCCTTCTATTCTTTCCTTCTTCCGCTCGCACCTACAGTTACCCTATGTAGTGTGTGTCTGGCCAGGTGTTAGAACTGTCGAAACTATCTGGCTACTGAGAAAGCATCTTCTAATAGTTACTCAAGTAACATAAATAAAATTCAGCTTTTAAACATAAGTACAGTCACAATTTATTAAACTTTAAAGGTGTCTGGCAAGGAGTTGCCACGATACTAAGTGTCGCAACGGATAACGTGATTTCTAATATTATTCCGAAGAAAATATGAGAAAATTACGCTTTATAATTTGACAAATTTAAGTTGCTATTTTATAAACTCACTAACAGTGGTAGAGCCACGCGGCAGCTTTTGCTGTCGCACGGATGGGCGACCGCGACCGGTGTGGTACCGCGACCTCACGGAATGCCAGCGTGAAGTAGAGGTTTACCTCTGCGTTTCGCTTGATGAGTGCAGTTGGCCGGAGGCCCTTTTTACTGGAAATGAGGCATTCTATCTTAGTCCTCACGAGTGACAACGCATCTGCATTTTGATTCGCAAACGAGGATAGATGTAGATGTCTATGGGCCGCAGCAACCACTTACCATCAGGTGGACTGTGTGCTCGTTTGTCACCCTTATCCTATAAAAAAACACTCATGCTACCTGTTACCTGCTAAAACCACCATTATCCAAACTTCGTAGTATCCCACCGTTGCTACCTATATCGAGAGTATGCGCGGATAAATTTTAAGCTTTTATAAAATAAGGAAGGTCTGGCGATCACGGGCTCTCGCTCTATATTCACTGCTGGCCGTATTAGGAACCTCAAATTTTCTCGAAGTTTCTCTGCATGATAGATTGTTTTATTTATACTAGGCATTATTTAGACCAGTACTTCAGACCAGTCCTATCTTGTTTATCGCATGGTGGTGTCGTCAAAAAGTGAAAACATTAAATTATTTAGAAGTTATTGCGTAATTTGTGCCATGAACTGTTCATGGCATTAAGTCATACCTACGCGACGATATGAGATGATGGAATGTCGAATGATGGAATTACGTTTCACGGTTGGGCACAGAGCATCGGTTCATTTATGAGAGAGTGTTTTGAAACAAGGTAGTGTTCGCCTCGCTGCCGCATAGCATGTCGGCAAACTTAACAAGTATTCAAAACTGGCGTAGCAAGGGGCAGGCCAGTAGGGCCATGGACCCGGGCAGCATATTATTTAGATTACTTGCGAAATTGGGAGGGGTGGCCGTATCATTTTTAGTTTAAGTGGTTCCGGGCGACAGCAACCCGTGCTACGTCACTGCTTCAAAATCTTTTTTTTTATTTTTTAGACAGTTTATGGGTTCTATAAGTTTACAGGATTTTCCCTTCAAAGTCCAGCACACGGTAGATCAGAATTTAAAAATACAGTAATTAATTGATTGGTACCGGCAGCTATGTATGTTCGCATACTATGAAACAAGCACTTATCCCCTGAGCTGAGGTTCTCGTGTTTTTTGTATGTATTTACTCGATATCCTTGTCAATTGTGGATCTATTTTAATATAATGTTTTTTCTTTAGTGTTGGTCCCATATAAATTTGGAGAAAAAAAATTCACTCACAATACAATACAATACAATACTCTTTATTGTACTCCCCGAAAAGAGCTGTAGAATTTTGTGAATTATATGTATAAAAAATTAAATTAAATTAGCAATTCAATGTTTAATTGAATTGACTGTGTCTACTTTAAATACCTAAAAGTTTTCAATGCTTAATATATCTATCACCTGCAGCCGCATAATATGAACAATTAAATGTATTTTATGAAAAAAATTACGTACAAGTAAACCTGTCACTTCATCGATAAAAAAACAGTTGTAACCTTGGTATTGTATTTAGTTACATTATGATTAAATTGATATTGTATTACGCTGTTAATTATCTCTCATAAATAAACGAAACAAATATTTATTATAGACGGAATGTTATCGAACAACATTTACTATGAACTCGACAGTACGTAACTTGAGCTAGGCGCGCGAACTTGTCTTTTCACAGGCCCTAAAAAAGCGCTGCCAAAGGGATCCCACATTATTGTCAATGATGTCCGAATTCAGGTTGAGTCCAACATGAGGTATCATGGACTCATTCTTGATAGCGGCTGGAGCTTCCGCGAGCACTACAAGCGCTTGAGCCCTCGGATAATGGGAGCGGCAGCTGCCTTAAAGCGACTGCTACCTAATGTCGGAGGGCCTGATGCTAGCTGCCGCCACCTCTACTTGGGCGTGGTCCGGTCCATGGCTTTATATGGGGCCCCCATATGGGTAGGGGCTCTGACGGAAAGAACAGTCGCCTTCCTGAGGAAACCCCAGAGGGCAATGGCCGTTGGAGTCGCATGGGGATACCGGACGATCTCCTATGAGGCTATATAGAATCCTAGGCAAAAAAGAGTTTTATCGCGTAGTAAAAATATCTTATGACGCTACTATAATGAAATGTATACACGTACTTTAAATTCGTGTAAGAAATTAATTAGACAAATCAAACCAAAATTGTACGTTAAAATAAAAAGTAAAAAAAAAATAAGTTCAAAGTAAGTATTTTTCATTCAAGTATTGCCGCTCTTCCCTTCTTGTGCGAACATTAAATAATTAATGATCTTACATTTCTCTTTGATACTTTTGTGGAGAATACATAAGAGGGTTGTGGTAAGGATTCGTTATTTGCACATCTTTAACATAATGAATATCTATTTGTGTTGTGAATTTTATTTAACAAAAAACGCTCACGCTACCAACTCGTTTAGTGAAAGTTGAATAAAAGTAATGAACTTACAGCTTACATAATACTGCAGCCCATGGACACCTGCAAACTTCAAATAAAAAAGGCTACAGGTGCGTTTTCACCTCTGAGGTTTAAGTTGGAATGCAGCACAGCCTGTCATTATACTGGCTCGCCAGAGACTTCAGATCAGAATACAGCAGTGCAGGGACTCCTGCTTGGCGGCAGAAATAGGTAAGAAGGGGTGGTATCCACCCTACAGACTCCTAGACAGAAAAAGAGAAAATGGTCTGGTCCCCATAGATTACTATAAAGCGCGATCCTGAAGGACCTGCATCCATTGCTTCCCTTCATGTATCACCAGGTCATCACTATGTCGTTGTTATAGGTTATAAATTATAATCAACAATCAATTTTCTTATTCCGATGATCGTATGAATTTTTATACTGTAGTAGGTACTATGCCGTGCCGTGCAAACGTCCATTATAAAAAATCCCGTAGTAATAAATATGCCACAATTATTAAAAAGTTCTATTATATAAGTAAAAGCCATTGTGTAATGATTTCTTATGTTTACGCGAACACTACACACTTATAGTGCTCGAAACGGCGGGAATATAAAATAAGTTAATATACGCGATAAAATCCTTAGAAAGTAGTATTTTATTAAGCGATTGTAACTCGGGGACTAAGCACTCGCCGTAAATTTAGTAGTACGTGTGCAACCCGGGTTTGATGCTTGCCGGCGCCAATTAAACTAATTGATTAATTATAAATTAAATTGCTTATTTATTACGTGTTCTGCGATGAAGGAAAAAATCGGAAAGGAACCTGTATGTCTTAGGGATAACATATTATAAGCATATGAGAAGTCCGCCAATAGGTACTAAAGGAGCGCAGCGGACAGAAAGGCTCCTGGAAATGTAGGGTAGCCTGCGCCAAGCAGTAAATTTAGAGCATATAACTCCCCGTAATTTTACCTAATGGAAATTAACAAGAGCGTCCTTTACGTGGAATACGAGAACGTAACTTACTAGCAAGACGGGGGTCTGTGCTGAAATTCACGTCTGAGTCAATATTTGCCTAAACAAATTAATAATTTTTCTAAAAATCTCAAGACACTGCATCTTTTTAATGCCCCCAAAGCCAATCATACCCCAAAGCCGGAGGGGTGATAGGATCTATAGGATGACGGATCACTCCAGGTCATTTGTTAGGAAGAGAGAATTTTCCGTGGTAAAGCCAAGCTGCCATGCCATGCCATGCTATGCCATGTAAAGTAGATGTCCATGTCCATACTAACCATCAGGTGAACAGTAAGTTGTATTCTAATTGTATTCTAACTTAGTCCTCATGCGTGCTCAATTTGATTCTTAATAGATGCCTCTATAGAAGTCCACGGGCTACAGCATCCACTTACTGTCAGATAGACTGTATGCTCTTTTGTCAAACTTACTTTTATAAAAGACACAATGGTGGCAATGGTA